CCCTCCTGATAATATGTCCAAAGTGCAAGAGATGAAATGTTGCCATCCTTGCTCTAAGGAGCATTCTGACTGTACTTCTTCCAAGAGATATTTGTTCATTCTTCTGAAAGTTCATGTTCAATATTCTTTGCCAAAATCATAATTAAAAGGCATCAATTCTTCTTCAGTCATCTTTACTCATAGTAGTTTTACATGTCTATGAGGTAACTGAAAATCCCATGGCTTGGGTCTGGTGCACCTTAGTCCTTGAAGTGACACCTTTGCTTTTTAACACTGTAAAGAAGTCTTTTGCATAGATTTGTGAAATGCACTGTTTGATTTTTTTGACTGCAGCTTCCATAGTTGTGCAGTATAGATTCATGAAAAATAAAATCCTTTACAACTTTAATATTTTCTCTGATGATCATGAAGTTGCTCATTGGTCTACTTGTGAGGATTTTTGTTTTCTTTATATTGAGTTGTCATCCATCTAAACTGAAGGTTATAGTCTATGATCTAATCAGTAAGTGTTTCAAGTCCTCTTCACTTTCAGCAAGCAAGATTCTGTCATGTGCATATCACAGGTTGAGTCTTCTTTCAATTTTATTGTTCTTCTTCATATAGTCCAGTTTCTCGGATTATTTGGTCAGCATACAGATTGAAAAGTGATGAAATTATGCAACTCTGACACACGTATTTCCTGATTTTAAACAGTGTAATATCCCCTTGTTCTGTTTGAACTATTGCTTCTTAGTCTATATACAGATTCTTAACAAGTACAATTAAGTGTTCTGGAATTCCCATTATTTGCAATATTATTCCTTATTTATTATGATACACAGAACCAAATGCCTATGAATAGTCAATTAAACATTGGTAAACATTTTCTGGTAATCTCTGCTTTCATTCAAGATAGGTCTGACATCGAAAATGATAACCCTCATTCCATGTCCTCTTTTGAATTGAGCTTGAACTTCTGGCAGTTCCCTGTTGATGCTGCAATGGTTTTTGAATTATCTTCAGAAAAATTTTACTTAAGTGAGATATAATGACATTGTTCAATAATTTCTGCATTATAATGTATCACTTTTCTTTGCATTGGGTACAACTATAGATCTCTTTCTGTCAATTGGCCAGGTGACTCTCTCCCAAATTTCTTAGCATAGACAAAGGAACACTTCTAGCATTGTATTTGTTTGGTGAAATATTTCAATTAGTATCTGTCAATTCCTGGGTCTATGTTTCGACAATACATTCACTGGGGCTTAGACTTCTTCCTTCTGTACCATCGGCTGGGCATTATGTACTACCTTCTGAAATAGTTGATATCAACCAGTTTTTTTTTTCAAGTGCAAGTTTACAGAGCAGAGTTTGTTTTACACTCAACATTTCGTGTACATGTAGTTTCACTCCCCATTCACCATCCCCAACCCTAGCCCAGTCTCCTTCCCTCCCTTCCCAGTAACTCCCCAGCCCCCTGCCCCTGCCTTTCATAGTTATGCACTCCTGTGTATCCTGCATTTCCTCCATTCAAATGTTGCCTCTCTGAGATCCCATGGTCAATTGCTCCAAGGCATGCATCTCCATAGAGTATGTGGGTTCATCACCCTGAGTTGACTGGTCTGTGTGCACATCTTGTTTACTACTGGGCTGAGAGCCAGCCCCTGGGAGTGAGTTTTATTCTAGGCCCAAAATGTATCCCAGGGTCATAGTATTGGGGATCTCACCAGACTCTATCTGACCAGTAATTCTGATCATTATTGTGTTTTTGGATTTTGTTTCATGTTTTTCCTCCAACTCCATCCTGGGTCTCCAGTTTTGATCCTTTCCTGAGTGGTTGGCATTGGTAGCTTGGCACCATCTAGTTCTGGACTTGAGGTCTATCATGTCCTAGGGCTGATTGCTTCCAAATGTCTTTGGTTTTTTGCACACATCTTCACTTCCAATGATAGGACACCATTAGCTGCATCTTAGATGGCCAGTTGAAAGCTTTTAAGACCCCCATCACTACTCACCAATGTAGGATGAGGAATAAGATTTTTACATATATTGTTGTGTCAATTGTGTCCCCTAGTACTATGGTCCTGAGTTGGTAGATCTGTTGATCTCTTTCCCACAGTGTCTGGGTGTCTGTGAGGGAGCACTCTATGCCTGTCTTCTGTCTCTACTTCTTCCTTTAGTACCATTGAATGTGCATCATATACTACCTCCTGAAATAGTTGACATCAACCAATTCTTTTTGGTATAGTGACTATGTATTCCTTTAATCCTCTTTAGATGCTTACTGAGTCATTCAATATTTTTCCCATAGAATCCTTTAATATCACAACCCAAGGCTTGGATTTTTTCTCCAATTATTTGAACTTGGGAAATTCTAAGTGTGCTCTTCCATTTTGGTTTTCTAACTTTAGTTATTTGCACTTTCATTATAACACTTTAATTTGTCTTCTCAAACTGTCCTTTGAAATCTGTTCAACTCTTTTATTTCATTATTTCTTACATTCACTTTATGTTCAAGCGTAAGTTCCAGAGTCTCTTCTGTCATCCATATTTGTATTTTCTTTCTTTACTATATTTTTAATGGCTTTTGCTTTATTCATGTATGATGTCCTTGATGTCATCTCATAATTCCTCTGGGCTTTTTCATTAGTGTTCCGTGAGTTAAATCTACTGTTGAGTTAGTCTCTAAATTCAGATGTTATAAAATTGAAGTTGTACCTTAGCTCTCATGGACTTATTTTTAATTTCCTTCAGCTCCATTTGAACCTGCATATGAGCAATTGATGATCTGTTCCGCAATCTATCTCTGCTTGTTCTGACTGATGATATCTAGTTTCTCTATTGTCTCTTTTCAAAAATGTAGTTTATTTCATTCCTATTTCATCCAAGAGGTCTACATGTGTAGTTCCTTTTTTGTTGTTGAAAAAATGTATTTCCAAAGATTAGGTGATTGGTCTTGCAAAATTCTATCATGTAATCTCCCTTGTCATTTCTGTTACTAATGTCATATTTGCCAAATCGATCCTTTTGCTTTATTTCTAACTCTTATATTCCAATCCCAACAATTATCAATGTATCTTGATTGCATGTTTGATCAATTTCAGATAGTAGAATTTGGTGAAAATCTTCAATTTCTTTATATTTGGCACCAGGGATTGTTGTGTATATTTGAATAATCATATTAACTGTTTTTCTTTGTAGGTGTATGGATATGATCATATCACTGACCACTTTGTATTTTATGATAGATCGTGAAATGTTCTTTTTGACAATGAATGTGGTACCATTCCTCTTCAAATTGTCATTACCAGCATAGTAGACCACATGTTTGTCTGATACAAAATTACCAATACCAGAGCTCTGGTGGTGTAGTGCCTAAGGCACTCTACTGCTAACCAGAGGGCTGGCAGTTCAAACCCACCAGACACTCCTCAGAAGTAAGACTGGGCAATCTACTTCTGTAGTGATACAGTCTCGGTAACCCAAGGAGCAGCCGCTATGAGTCAGATCTGACCCGACAGCAGTGAGTTAATGCCTAGGATACTGATCTTCAACAAGTATTCTATTTCATTTTTGACAACTTCTATTTTTCATAGCTTCATAATGCATAAATTGTGCTTTGCAATTACTAATGGATATTTGTGAGTTGTGGCATATCAGCAAATGAAGGTCCCCAAAACTATTCAATCTAAGTCATTAAAATAACTGTACTTTGAAGAAGTCATGTTTTGAGGGACGTCTAACATGAAGGACTCATCTTCTGACAATATATCCGACATTACTAAGCATCAGTTTTCACCGGCCAATTTTTTCAGGTTCTTTTTCCCAATCTGTCTTATTCTGGCTGCTCTGCTGAAACCAGTCCACCATGGGTGACTCTGCTGGTATGTGAAATACCAGAGGCATAGCTTCCAGAATCACAGCAACAAGCAAGTGACCACAGTATGAGAAACTGACAGATGAACAGTGGAACCACATAAGTATCATATGTGTGTATTTATTTGTAAAGAATAAAATCTTATTAATTTATTATCACTTTACAAATATAAAATTTAAAATATTTGAATACAAATATAATTTTTTTTTATTTTCTTGTTTTTTAATATATAAATTTTCCATACCCTGGTGATGCTCATAGCCCATTGAGTTTTCTTAATAATTTAAAATATATTATAAAATATAAAAATCTTTCAGTAATTGTAAGACTTGTGGGCTAATGTTGTGAATAGTAGTTGTTCCTCCTTAAAATAATGGTAAATAACTTTGAAGGTGAGATGGGACAAGTTCAGGTGGTACAGCATAATTTAACTCCTTCATGCTGCTGATTAGACACTTAGGAGTTAAATTGTTCTACATTTAGAGTGTGGCTCTGATTAGACTAGCTACAGAGTTTGCAAGGATCACAGACTTGGTAAGGATATATCAAGGTAATCTGTACAGAATAGTGATATCATATAGTATAATATGTTTGATATATTTATTTTCTATTTACTTATTACAGAAGAAAAAAACATTAATCAAGACAACTGAGAAAATAAAAATAAACAAGAAAAAAACAGAAAACATCCATAACCTGAATGAACATTTTTGTGTATACTCATTTTTTTTAATATGATTATTATATGCAGATGTATTTAATATATTTGTATCTTCAAAAGTTAAGTATTACTACACATGTGGTTTTATAATGTGATGTTTTACATAACATGGTGTGAGCATCTTTGATGTTATAATCTTTGTTAATTATGTATATTATCCAAGTGTATGAATGCATATTTAATCAATCTCTACTGTTTGAAATTTAATTTTTCCCTATCTTCACTGTTACAAGTAATTTTTCAAATAACATTCTTAAAAAATATATTTTCATAATTTCCTTAGTCTTTCTTAGGATATTAATACAACAATTGGAAAAAAATAAAACCTCAATGTAAATTTATAACAAGATGACTTGATTTTCACCCTCAATCACACAGCCAGGAAATTCTAGTTTCCCCACAACCTTGACACCAGACACATACCTTCACATCGGGGAACTGTAGAACTCCAAACAACATTTCCATCCTGCAGGATGCAGGTGATAGACTCAGACCCTTGGGTTTTGACAAAGCCATCATCACAGTGAAAAGAAACCGAACTCCCAAGCAGAAACCTATCACCAAAACGCCGCCCATTTATAGGAATGCCAGGATCATGGCACTCATTCTGACCAAATGCTACAAAGAAGAAAATGAAAATTTTATTAGAGTAAAAATGCTTGAATATTAATTATGTATACTAAAAATGAAGGAAATAAAAAAAATATTTATGATGAAACTTATGCCCCAAATGTCAATTACATCATATATTAAATAAATAGGATCAGTAGCTATTGAGAAATAATTTGAAACAAAGAGAGAGAAACTACAAATGGATAAATAGATAGAATTATCATCTGTTTAGCACTTTACACTTTAAAAAGCACTTTTAGTATGCATTAAGAAAAAATGAGAATAAATACAATAAGTGGCAGAAAGAGTATAGGTTCAGACATATCTACTTTATAATCCTGGCTCTTGTGTTTTTTAGCTCACCTTGGGAAGATTCCACTAATGATCTGAGCCTCGATATCTTTATTTACAAAATGAAAACTATCAAACCTATATCCCAGAGTTGTTGTAGCACCTCATGGAATAATTATTGGTAAATTCCCAGCACTGTGCCTAACAATTAAGCAATCAGAAAATGATAACTTACTATTACTCATATTAACATTTAATTATTTTATTTTGTTCCCTCATCAATACATTTAAGTAAATTTTCCTATTACATCTGTTTTTCAAATGAGGAAACTGGAACAAGAGAAGTTAGCGGTCTATATACAGGTACTGGAAGTCATATCCAAGATCCTTGACTTTAAATGACACAATTCTTTTTCTACACTGTTTTGTTACATCAAGGATTATTGGAAGGATGATGGATGGATGGATGGATGGATGGATGAATGGATGGATAAACAAACACCCAATAAGAGAGAGAAAAGAAAAGGGAGAGGTCAAGTCCCTTAGTACAGGTGTGACCAAGATACTATTCTAAGTAGGTGATGCAATTTTTTAGGTTACAGGAATGATGCTATATAATTTCCTACTTTCGTTATTCTTATAATGATTATAAAATACATGAAATATCAATTTTAAAATCAACTTTATATACTTGTAAATAAAATGAGAACATGAAAGCAGTGCTTGTGTAAGAGTACTTACTTGTATACGTGATGTTGAACCCTCTGCCAGTAGTGGAATGATCAGATTGAAATTCCAAGCGGACTATGTGCCCACTGCTGGCCAGCTGAGAAGGCACTTCATTTCCAGAAAAAGTACCAAGAACTGTTATATCAGAAATTCCATCGTCTTTCACTGCAAGGAAGTCAAACTGAGGTTCCACATCAAAATCATTAAAAATGAGGTGAATTCTGCTTCCTGGTTCAGATATAATTAGCCAAACACAGTTCATGTTGTTGCCATATTCCTCTGGATAATTTGGTGAAAGAATAATCCCTGACGGTGCAGTAAAGTTGAAGAAACATGAAACTGTGAAGACAAAAATAGATTTTCCAATCATTTTTACATATCCAAAGTACTGAAAACATGAAACAGATTGCTAACAAATGGGAAAGTAAATCCATATCTGCAAATAACAATCATTACTGAATTACTTTATAATTGGTAAATCAAGAGTATAAAATGATCTTTTCCCCTAAATTGTAAATAGAATGTTTCATTATCTTGTATAGCACAACCAGAGTCAATACATAATAAATTACAGGCTTGATTTAAAAAATCCTTTCAAAATCACAAAACTTGTGGCAAATATTATAATTTCTACTTTAAAAAAAATCTGACGTCATATGGACAAATGCAAGTATGAAAACATACATATGGATTATAGAAGCAATTTTCCAGAAAATAAGATTATTTCCATTCAGTCTTCTCCTTTTTCATTTCTGCTGTTTTTATTTTATGTTTTCCATTAAGGTTAATCTTTTTAAAGTTTCTTAAATCTTTTTTTTTCAGTTATAGTTATAGAATAATAAGCTAATAACTTTTAAAATTATACCATATTCTAGTTTAATATTTAAAAAAAAGTTGAAAAATTACTTTTAAGAATGTGTACTGTAAGATATATATAGTTATATAGATGGCTTCCTTTATGGACAGAGTAATTGTTAATTTGTATCTATGGTATGGTTTTGTTTCTAACTCCACAAGACTTCATTTATGTCTTCCAGTTATTGCTATATTTAGTTATAAGAAGAAAATCTCTTTTAAATTGGCTATGAAGTATTTTTCTACTTAATAAAATGGCATATGCAGGAGCAAACAGGCAGTTGTTTAATTGAACTGCAAATTGATGCTACTGCTCATGTTCCACACTGGCTAACAACTTGTGTTTAATTGTTGTTGTTGTTGTTACATGCCGTTGAGTCGGACCCAACTCATAGTGACCCCTCCTTGGGTTTCCGAGGCAGTATTACTATGGAAGTAGATTGCCCCATCTTACTTCTGGGGAGTGGCTGGTGGGTTTGAACTGCCAGCCTTCTGGTTAGCAGGCAAGTGTCTTAGGCACTATGCTACCAGAGCTCCTTATACAACATTATTACTACATGTCTAAAACAGTATCTTGCTGAAAGCAAAGAAGACTTGAAATACTTATTGATGAGATAAAAGAATATAAATTTCAGTATGGATTACACCTCACTACAAAGAAAACAAAAATCTTCACAAACGGGCCAATAGACATCATGATAAATGGAGAAATGATTGAAGTTGTCTAGGATTTCACTTTACTTGGATCCATAATCAAAGTCCATGGATGTAGCAGAGGAGAAATTACACAACTTATTGCCTTGGGGGAATCTGCTGCCAAAGATCTCTTTTAAAGAGATCTTAACTTTAAGTGTTAAAAAGCACTTTGTGGACTAAGGTGAGCCTGATTCAAGCCATGTACTTTCAAAACTCTCATATGCATGGGAAAGCTGAACAATGAACAAGACTGAGAAGAACTGATGCCTTTGAATTGTGGTGTTGGTGAAGAATATTGAATATGCCACAGACTTCCAGGATGAACAAATGTGCCTTGGAAGAAGTATAGCCAAAATGCTCCTTAGAAGCAAGAATGACCAGACTTCATCTTACCTATTTTGGTCATGTTGTCAAAAGGGACCAGTCCCTGGAGAAGGACATTATTTATGCTCAATAAAACAAAAGGTCAGTGAAAAAGAGGAAGACTCTCAACTAGATAGACTGACACAATGGCTACAATAATAGCGTCAAACATAGCAATGACTGTAAGTATGGTGCAGGATTGGCAGTGTTTTGTTCTGTTGTACATAGGGTTGTTATAAATGGGAACTGGCTCAATAGCATCTAACTAAAATATATAGTATGTCATCAGAAGCTATTGATGGTATGTGTTAAACTTATTCTAGTACATGTCTTTCAACTACATTTCACACAGTGAACATAAAACAATCACAAATTAGTTTTAATTAAGTGAAGAAATCAGGAAAGTTTGTGTTTGAAAATGCCCTTGTAGGTTTCTGGTAAATGAAGCATTCCTAAGCTATTTAAAAAGCGGTCCTCTCTAAGTGCCTGTTTTGTTCCTTTCTTTTTCTTTTCCCTGGCAACGCAATTGCAGAACAGAAAGGGGTCCAAGTCAAGGCACAATACTCACATACACAACTGGGCTTGTTGCCAGACCACTGATTGTTCTGCTGACAGGTGATAACTCTCTCCCCTACCAACTCAAAGGCAGCCTGGCATTCAAAGGTGAGAGTATCTCCATGGAGAAAACTGCTGCCTGTCCGTTTCCCATAGGCAGGAATTCCTGGGTCTCCACATCCTCCCTTCTCAATTTCTGAAAATGAGGAATACAAATTAACCAAAAAATCACAGAAGAGACATTTTTGAAATCACAATTTAGAAGACGAACAAATATTTTATTTCCAGTGATCTAAACATTATTTTCATAAACAATCTGAAAAGAATATTCAACTCATCTAACATTTAATTACGTAAGCCAGGAAAACAGTGTAATTAAAGGTACTTATTATGTTTAATATATACCAATAGCTAAACAGATGTATTGATAATACATTACAAATAGATTCATCATGTTGGTCCATTTTCTGCCTTTTATATACAATTGCTACTACTAAAATATAAACATAAATTTTGTTTTATTTTATGTTTTATAAGATATAACAAATCCAAATTAAATTATCCAACCCATATTGAATATTTAAAATCAATACATTCACTTGAATGTTCTTTTTATTAATATTAAAACCCATTTATGAAACAAAATGAATGTATTGATGGTCTTCAGATAAAAATAAAATATGCAAAATCAAATTTCTTTCTGTTAAAATATAACTGTAATGAAATATGGATACAAGCTAACCTAAACTATAAACATATATATTTTTTTTTATTAGGATTTGGGTGAAGATTTACAGAGTAAATTCACTTTTCATACAGCAGTTCACATATACTTTGTCTCATGTCAT